TCTTCCAAAAGGAACTCAATTGCCATAAATACCCTTTCTCTGGGAGTTTCATCAACCAGGGAAGACCAACTCTTATCATAGGAGAGGAGGCTAGAAGGTCTACACACCTGGAGAAACTCTGTCACAACCTATCTCATCTCCCATCTATTCTTCTTTCATTCCTAAAAATAATTTACTTTTCCCCAAGAGACTTCCATCTCCCCACTCCCTAAATTGTCCCCTACCCCAATTGAGATGATATTTAAGCCGGAATTCTAAGCCACTTTGGGGAGTTAGAATTTCTCCCTGGATATTGACAAAGATCCTTTCTTTGCTTAGCCAAACCTTAGCCAGGCTTCAGAACCTTCCCTTTAGACCAGGGGTCCTCAAACTACGGCCTGTGGGCCACATGCAAATACAAATATTGTATTTGTTCCCGTTTTGTTTTTTTACTTCAAAATAAGATATGTGCAGTGTGCATAGGAATTTGTTCATAGTTTTTTTTTAAACTATAGTCCGGCCCTCCAACGGTCTGAGGGACAGTGAACTGGCCCCCTGTTTAAAAAATTTGAGGACCCCTGCTTTAGACCGTCTGTGCACTTCCTTGCAAAATCTAGTATTAGCAGGAATCCTGCTAAGTCATTTTAGCAAATCTCCCATCCTCTACATCTGATCGCCCTCAATATCAGTTCCTCATCTTCTACCATCCCCCTGCCTTCAGCAATAAATCTCTTAATACTGTCTTTCAATGAACAGAAGCTCTTACCTTTATTATAATCCAATTAAATCCCTTTCTTCTATGGCTAGTGCTTTAAAGGAAATATTTGCCTAACTGAAGGACACATATTTTCTCTAAAATATTTATTTTCCTCTTCCATCTAGATCTGCCCTCTACCTGGAACTGATTTTTGTATGGTATCAAATAAAGGTCAACACATTTTTTCCTCACATGGATGTCCAGTTAAGCTGGCATTTACTGAATAGAAAATCCTGTCTCCACTGAACTATAATGTTGCCTTGGTCATAAATCAGAATACTTTGTATGTGTGGCTGTTTTTGGATGCTCTTTTCCATTGGTCAATTTGACTACTCTTGTACCAATATCCCATTATTTTAATTACTATAACTTTATGATAGGTCTTGGTATCTGATAGGATAAAACCTCCCAGCATTTTTTTCTTTCAAAATTGATTTGGCTATTCTTGGTCAGTTGTATTTCTGAACGAATTTTAGAATCAGCCAGTCACCTTCATTAAGGAAAAAAAAAACACACCTACTGAGATTTTGATTGGGTTTGCATAGAATATATGTATTAATCCTAGGTGACCCAATATCTTTACAATAATGATCTTCAAACCCACGAATATTTTTATTGCTTGCCTTCTAAATGAGTCAGGCAGCTTCCCATATCTTCCGCACCCACATGGCTTGACGCAGGGCCATGCTGGACTTCACACATGGACTAATGAACTTGAATTAACTTGGATAATGAATTACACTGGGCTGCAACATGGAACAGAAGCTCTGGACACTGACCTTGCTTCTGGCTCTGCTGAACTCACAGCTGCACCTTTTCCAGGACTGGCTTAAGGGGCAGGGGACTTTAGAACTCGAGAAATATAACTTCACCCAAATAAAGCCTTTTTCCATCCTCCCATGGGGGCTTCTAAAAATTCTTTTTTCAGCAGCATCCCAAGAACCTTCACCTCCCTCCCAAGAGTGATAGAAGAATTCGATTCTCTGGTAATACCACCAGAATGATAAAAAGAAAGACTGAAATTAGCAAGTGTTGATGAGAATGTAGAGCAACTGGACAGCTCAAGCACTGCTGGTAGTAGTATAAATTGGTAGAACCACACTGGAATAATGTTTGGCAGTATCTACAAAAGGTGAACATATGCATTTCCTAGGACTCAGCAATTCCACTATATACCCAACAGAAATATGTTCAGCAAAATACATATATTAAAAGATTCACAGAAGCTCTACTCATAAAAATCTCAAACTGGAAACTACCCAAAGACCATCAATAGTAGAATGGATTTAAAATTTTTTCATGTATTCACATGAAATACTATGGAGAAGTAAAAAAATGCTCACATGACAATATACATGAATCTAACAAGTAAACAAAGTCAGAGACCAAAAATAAGTCAGACAAAAAAGAGCATATACAAATGGAATTGCACAGCGTGTACACTATAAAAATGGGCAAAACTAATCTAAGTTAGTTATTATAAGTCTGAATGGTGGTTATCCCTGGGGTGGGAAGAAGTGACTGAAAGAGCAAGAGAGAGCTTCTGGTATACTGGTGATGTTTCTTGATCTAGGTGCTTGTTTTGGGGTGTGTTCATGTGAAAATTCAGCAACATTTATGATTTGTGCACTTTCCTCTGAATATTATGCTACAATAAAAGTTAATGCATATAACATAAAGCAAATAAATCAAATAACAAGCTGGAAAAGATTTTCTAGAAGTAACAGGAAAAACTCATGCAAGTCAATTTTTAAGAAGCTAGCATCCAACTGGAAAATGGGTCTGCATACAAAAAGAAAGGTTCAAGCAAAGAGAGAAAAATGGCTTCAATAAATGCACAAAATGTAAATTAGAATAATGGAGTGCTGTTTTTTTCCTAGCAAATTAGCAAAGATTAAAAAAAACCAATAAGGCTGTTACTGAGGATTTGTGTGAAACTACTAATATTCTTACTCTTAATGGAAACTTAAATTGGTATAACCTTTCTTCATTAAGTCTTTAAAAATTACTCTTTTCACCTACTAGTTTCCCTTCTAGTAATTATTATAAGGAAAATTCAGAGTTATAATTAAAGATAGATTTATGTCAGTGTTGATTACAATGGTGAGTATTTTGAAACAATATAATTATCCCACAATGGGAAAATTGCTACATTATGAAACATATGTATGATGGGATAATGTTTTCAAAGAGTAATGAATAGGAAAAGACTCATGATAAATTTAAATGAAAAAAAAAACATACAAAATTCTATGTGGTATGATATCTTTTGTGTTAAAAAATATCACAGACTTAAACATACACTTGCATGGAAAAAAGTCTGTAACACATACTGTAGTGTTAATAATGGCCATCTTTGGATGGTAGGATAATGAATGATTTTAATTTTGTGGCTTATTTGCTACAATGAAATGTTCCTTGAATATTTATTATTATTACATTCAGAAATCTAAGAAAATAATAGGGTAAACAAATAACACCCACCCAGTTTCCTTAATTCTAAGCAACCTAGATTTTGATCTCTCCTTTAGCTCTTGCATTTAATTTGTAATTTTATCTTAGAAGCATCTGTCCAAGCCATTATAACATTTTATTACTTCTTCTTTCATTTCCAAAATGCAGGCACCAGTCTTTCCTAGAGAGCACTTCGAATGCAGGTTCTTCACTTTGGTAAAATAGCCCTATCCTCCCCTACTTCTCCATTCTAGCCAAATCAAAGCACTTTCTACAGTGCCCCTCCCACACTCCAGCCCCTGAAAGAGCCACACCAAGTACTGTCACACCTCCCAACCTTGGCGTGCTCTGCTCTCTCCCCCTGCGATGCATTCTCTCCCTTGTCCTCCTAATCCAATTCATAGTTCAAGATTCACCTCTGATACCATTCACTGCCCGTGGGTAGCTCCTCTGAGGTTACAAGAACAGATGATGGTTTCCCAACCAATCCCCCAACGACAGTTTGTACATATTTCAATATTTATCATTCTATATTGTTTAGTGCCTAGCTCTCCCATTGTGCAGAACGGGCCATATCTTTTTGAAATTTTTCTTAAAATCTAGCTGACTGTGTGAACACAAAACATACATCTATGCAGTGCATCTGCACAGGGGTGGTGGGTTTGCACCTGTGGGTGATAAATAAATGGCAACAAAAAGACTTGCCTGTGTGTGTGTGTGTGTGTGTGTGTGTGTGCATGTGGTTTTTTTCACCATTCAAGATGGCAGAGAACGTCTTAAAATAGTCCCACACAAAAGCACTCACACCGGAGCCTTAAGCCAGAACTGGCTACACTTAGCGCAACAGCAAAGGACAAAAGAACGGAACCTAAAGCTCAGATGCCCGGCCCTCGTCACCCGCGGTGGGTCCCACACCAATTTTAAACGTTGCTACAAAACTAGCACCTGCTGCCTTCACTCCGAGGGCCACGCCTCGACCAGGAACAGGGACCTAAGGCACTTCTGGATAATGACCCCCCCAAATCAAGGACGTAAAACAATGACCCCCCAAATCAAGGACGTAAAACTGGGAGGCTAAGTTGTACTGGTGCGTATCCAAAAACGCACGACCGGGCCCCGCCCCAGCCAGGGGCAGTCCCACTGAGGCGTAGCCGTCCTGGGGCGAGGAACAGGCAGGGCTCCCGTCCACCAGCCCGACTGGGAATTCCGGGCGGGCCTGAGGCTGAGGGCGTCTCGGGCTACACCTGTCAGGCAGCACCCAACTCTAGGCCCAAAAATCGCCGAGATTTGGTGACCGAGGCCGGCAAGACCGTCACCCGATCCCTCACCCCGCGATCGGTCCCTCGCCCAACCTCCTCGCCTTCGCCCTCGTTCTTCTCAAACAAAGGCAATCCACACCCACCGCCATTTTCTCCTTACCTCAAAAACCACCTCTTCGTCAAACTCCGGTGTCATCCTTCTCCGCCATGCCACCCGCCTCAGCACGATGGGAAATGAAGGCGGGGGAGCTGGCGGCACCCAGGCAGCCGCTTCTCCCGTCCCGTGTGTCCAGAAAACTACAACTCCCAGCATGCCTCTCAGCTCACGCCCCCCCTTTTCAGGCCCACTTATTGGAGCAGAAGATGATCCTGTGGACGGGAGAGGCAGGAGCAAAAGGAAGCTCGAGCCCTCTGATTGGAGGAGGCTGGGGCTTTTGTCTGCCTTTTACCGCTGCGGCTGGCAGGGGGCGCCAAGAGCACGGATTTTTTTTTTTTTTTTTTTTTTTTTTTTTTTTTTTTTTTTTTTTTTTTTAAACTGGAGACGGGCACGCGCCGGCAGAGGCGCGGTGAGCACTGCTCGTGCCCGCAGCTTGTCGCTCGCGCCCCGGAGCGCCGCCGGGTCTCTGGAGTCCGCCGCATCCTTTGTGCGGACCCTTGAGTTTCGCTGCGGAGCAGCAGGACGAAATGTGGACGCCGCGGGAGCTTTATTTCCCTGCCTAAATTCTTGAAACAATGGACGGTTAGGGGAGCATGGATTGAGGGGGAGGCGAGCGGGGAAGCGAGCCGCCTGGGGAATCATGACTTCTGCCGCCGGTAAGTGACGGCGCTCGCGCTGCCCCTGGAAAGTTTGTAGGGAGCGCTGCTAGTAGGGTTCTGGCGCAGCTTTCTCCTTTGGGGGTAGGTTAGTGGTGTTCCTTTTGCACTTTTGCCGGGGACGGTGGCAAGTGTGGAGCAGACGGCATTTGCTGCCCTATTTCCTCCTCCCTTCCTGCCCAGAGAGGGTGTTTGGAAATCGTGTCTCCCTTGGGACCTGCCTTTAAAAGGAGACCGGTGTTGGGGGCTCTGCGCCAGGTGAAACGCGAAATGAAAAAAGGACCGTTTGCTTGTCTCCGAAACTTTGAGCGACTTTGCCTTTGGGTGTGAAAATAGTTTCGATGACCATGTTAAGAAATCAGTTATTCTAAGAAAGGGCAGTGTTCCCAGAGTGTTGAACTCGGCCACGGAGCTGAGTCGCTTTCAACCTGGTATCGACTGGAAACCCTGACGCTTATTACTCAGTAGATAAAGAGGTGGTTTATCCTGAAAAAAAGGATAACCGTCAAGTTTTCCCCGTCACCCGAGAAATAGAGGAATAGAAGTGCCCATGGCAATTTTTTGCTCATCTTCGCCCAATTTTTTTTAATGGATTTTCTTTTCTATTTCTACCTGGTTAGTATAAACACAGCCTGATTTTCCGTCTGCCCCCTATAGTTGTTTCCCTTCATCCAAACGACAAACTGTTTACCTTTGGATTTTGAGCAATTCTGCACATATTTCTAAACATTTTTAAGGAACAGTTCATATATTCCATGATAATTACTAAAGTGGTTTTAGATCCAATTGATAAGAATATAGGTTACTTTTTAAACCACAATTTTTAATGTATTCAGTATTAAGGGTTTTTTTTTTCTTTGTTTCGTCCACGTTGAAAGAAATACACTTTTATTAGAAATTTTATAGTAAAGTAGTGTAAAGTTTTCCCTCGAAGTGACTTCTAGAATCACTTTGCTTTTCTTGGCATTTGTTTTAAATTCCTGCAACGTGAAACTGTCAAACAGCATTCTAAATGTTCTAAGTTGTCTTATTTCTAAAGCCTAGATTTATTGAAGTGTTGCACTGCTAGGTGTAAAAAGATTATAGGTAACTAGGCAAGAAGGTAGCCAATAGTAGTAAGAAAGCAAAGAGTGAAGTAGTATTCCTGAAGAAATTGTGGATCTTTCCTTTCTGATGTTATATGTATGTGTAGGAGATATGTTGTCATATCATGTTCCTTATAAACTTATTTCCTTACCAAAGTGAGGCTTCCTACTTGAGGTGAATTATTTTCATCCTAAATTTCTGTGCCCCACCTTTGTTCAGTTTTCCTTTATTACTGAGCTCTTCTAATTAATTTAAAGTGGTTGGATTTAAACCCTTCCAGCTAATTTTAGCTCTCCCCTCTTTTGGAGTATCAAGCACGTTTAAAATATTTATACCTTATATGCATCAGTTTTCAATCCCAGTTCTAACAGTTTATAATGAAGAGATACAGAAGCATTTAATATGACATTTAAATATGTAAACCTGATCTAGGGCTCAGTCTGGAGGTTTATGATTCTTTAATTTGCATTACCCTAGAATAATGCAAGCTATTTTTATATTTTATCAACTTTACAATTAAAGAAATCCACAGACATTTTTGTGGTGTTTTAAAAGAGGGACACTTCCTGTGTTTAGCTGAGTTAGTTTTTAGCATGGTTTGCTGAGAAGCATTAGCTACTTTTTTGTCCACGCATCTGTTAAGATTTATTTTAATTCTTTCACATGTCTAAATGGAGGATATGGAAGAGAATTGGGTTTTATTTTCATCCTATTCTTATAAGATTATCTGTTCATCATTTTTACAAGCTGTTTATGCTTTTTGGAACAATAGTCAATTTAATTAAAAGTTTAGGAAAGTTATTTCCAATTGGGGAAGGGAATGTTTGTTTATATCGAAGCTAATCTGCGGGATTTGGCATGGTTAGCTTAATTTAAGGAAATAAGAGAAATGTTGTAGAACATCTATGTTTTCTGTATCCTGAAGAAGAGCTTGCTTTGTTTTTCTGAAACATCTGTGAAAGAATAGGCCCATAGTAAGATTTTAGAATTATTCTAATCAATGTATTTAAAAGGAGAGGTAGTTACAGGTATGTGTTTTCTATTTTTTTTTTTTTTTTAACTTGTACAGGTCACTGTCTCATTAATGCTTGTGCTTTCCTTTACGGCTGGTTTGAAAGCTAAGAAAGTGTGCATGTGAGCCGCAGCCATCTGTGTGTCATAGATGACAGTATGTTTGTAATAGTGACATGGTACAAGTGCTTTACAGTCTTACCTTATTTTTTCCTGGAGCCAAACAGCTGTATAAATAAAAGATTTGCTGCTTTACTCTGAAAGGCTTTGGGTCTGACTGTTGATACAGTATTAAGATGCAAAGGTGCTGGATCCATTTCCAAAGATCATGTACTTACTTCAAGAATTTGACATTGGAGCAGACCACAATACAATGGCTTGTTATTTTTTTTTTTTTGAGTTGTGTTTCTTTCATAATAGAGCCATGAAAAAAAGTAATGATAATAATAATGAAGGATTATTTCTGTACCAGTGACTTAGTTGAATACTTGTTCCTACTAATAATTAAGAACTTATTCAGTAATCCTATTGAAGTTGATTCCTGATACTTTTCAAAATATTATCTACATTAAAATGGGTATGGACTTTTAAAAAAAAAGAAATTTCCTGTTACTGAGAAATATTAAAGAGTAAGTGTATGTGGCAGGTCTGACTATTCTTCGGGCCCTATTTTCACCATTGGGGACATCGCAATGAGACAAAGTGCCTGCCCTTTTGGAGCTTCCTTTCTAGTAGTGAAAAACAAAGTTATACCGATGAAAAATCATACAGGACAAAGGGGCTGGAGAAAATAAAGGTTCTCCTGAAGCAAGTATCTCAGAAGTTATCATCTCAGAATCATATGGGCTTTACAGTTCTGTCCAACTCTTTATTTACAAGTAAGGAAACTGAGGCAGCCAGATCTGCAGAAAGGCAAATAATTAGGTTAGCCAGCTCCCCACATTGACTTCCACTAAAGTCTAATATGTACATGGTTAGCTAACACTGGTGAGCCAAATTTCACAGCTGTTTACTTAATTCAATGAGTATGCATTGAGGGCATTAGGTACATAATGCTGGGCTACTTTTGTTGGCAATCAACCACAGCTCATATGTAAGTAATTTAATTTCTAGGACACTAAAGAGAACAGAGATTAAGTCTGTTGGAAGCAGACTCATATAGAAGACACATTTAAATAAAAGAGTAAAATTGGGAACAGAGATTAAAAAACAATTTAATTAGCCTGGCCGAGTGGCTCAGTTGGTTGAGCATCGTCCTGTGCACCAAAAGGTTGCTAGATTAGATATCCTGTCAGGTCACATACCTAGGTTGCTGGTTCAATCCTGGATCAGGGCACTTGTGGAGGGGCAACCGATCGATGTTTCTCTCTCTCTCTTCTCTCTCTCTCTCTCTTTCTCTCTCTCTTTTTTAAGCATGTCCTCTGGTGAGGATTTAAAAAAATTTAACTACAAATAAAAAATCGATCAGTTAAATGACCTGGAAGCTTCTGACAAAGCTGTATTTTCAGAAAGCAAAAGATTAATTTGCCTAGATGGGTTCTTTTTTTGTTTGGTTGTGGTAAAATACACATAACACAAATTTATTATCTTTATCATTTTTAAGTGTACAGTTCAGTAGTGTTAATTAAGTACATTCACATTGCTGGGCAGTCAATCTCCAGAACCCTTTTCATCTTGCAAAATGGATTTTCCCCCCCCATTCCTTCAGAAATCCCAGAGGTAGAATGCTTTAAGAATGGTTACAGAAATGAAATCAACATGACGACCTGTCAGTTTTCATTAACTTGAGTAAGATGAGAGCTTGGGAAGAGGCCTAGGGCATTCAGGCTTTCTTTTAAGAACTGACTTAATAGACCAAGAGTTGAATTTGAGAGATCATTATACCAAGCTTTAGCATTAGGCTTTGAAGGGCTTTCCAATTTTTTTCTTCCTATAAAACAAACAAAACAAAAAACTAATAACATGCTTATTGGATAGATAACTGCTAATGTAAAAAGCTTTGGGAATTTGTATTAAGTTATTTTGAAAATATTTCATTATTTTCTTTATTTGTCACAACATTATATTGAGTGAGAAAGCATCTGTTATCTGGTGATCTTGATTGAACACATAATATTAGAGGTTTGGGAAATTCTTCCTTGGTTGATAAAAGGAACTCTTTTTAATTTTTTTAAAACTCAGTTCCATGTAATATCTTCCCGAGCATTGTGACTAATTTCCTTTGTTGAAAAGAAATTCATCACCATATGAAGTATCTAAGCCTCTGTGTATTCAAGTAATTAAACAATGTCCAGTAGATATTTTGAAAGGTTTTTTTTGAAAGTTTTTTTTAGTAAATCACATTTTTATTAAGCATTAGATGATATTGGAGGAACAAACATAAATATAAGAAATGTAAGAAGATATTTTACCTCAGGATTTCATTGAGGAAGTATGACTATGTGATAAATGACAGTATAGGTAGAAAAACTTAAAAGAACTTAAAAAACCTAATGTTCAGGCTCTCTATATCTCATTTTATCGGTCTTTTGTGTGAAGCTATTATTAGGTTTCTAGGCTAAGAGCAGATCTGTAGAAATCTAACTCAGTATAATAGGTGCTCTCTCAGTACTTTTTATATAATGACTAGGAAGACTAGACATTGTGGTCATCTTTTAAATGCACTAATGAAGGGTACACAGCATAATCACCTGTGGATCCTAAGAAAAAATATGTCCAGGGGATACATATGTCCAGGCTTAAATCCCAGAAACTAGTTGATTAGACCTGGGGTTGAGCTCCATGAAGGATTAGAATGAAAATTCCCCATTGACAACCCTGCACAGAGAAATATTAGTTTTATTATGAGCCTCAACTAATACAGAAGAATTACTTTTTAGTTTTAACTTTGAAAAATTTCTGATTTCTGTATTTCATTTTAAGATTGTTTTGGGGTTTTAGTGATATAGGTTATTGATAAAGGCATTTACACATCTCTATTGTGTATCTTTGAGGTAGACGAATATTGCTTATTCATATGAGAAGCTTAAAGAGTTGTATCCTTGGTCCAAATAACACCGTCCTGATTGGTCAGAATGGAGCCACTCTGATTAGTTGGTGAAGATGAAAATGAGAATATAGTTGCACAGCTCTGATTGGATGGGGAACGTTTTAATTCTATTGGTTGATATAGGATTCCCAGAATTCCTTTATAAGGGCTGGCTCAGCCAGCATGCAGGCAAATCAGTGTAGGCTTCTTCGTGAAGTGCAGCTGTACAAGAGGACCCTGTTTAGCAACTGCTGCTTGGCTCTGTTTTTAAATTTCAGCCCAATTAGCCACCAGGATCCCTTCTTAAATATCTCTATTCCCAGGCTCAACATATTAAATTTGACTGTAGCTGCCCGATTGATTGATCTTCAGGATTGCTATAACCAGTCACATTACCTCAAGCATTGGATTATGTTCTTATATCAACACATTGCCTCCAACATATGGCATTATCTAGCTTTCTAACTCCACCAGTCTAATATGTATAAAGTGAGATCTCATTATTGCTTTAATTTATATTTTCTCCAATTATTAATGCTTTTAAACATCTCTTCAAAGTACTTGTTAGCTTTAGAGTTTTCTCATCTATAAGTTACTAGTCGTATCCTTCAACCATTTTGCACTGGGTTGACAGTTTCTCCTGGGTAATGTGCAGAAATTCCTTATATATTCTAGAAAGGGTAAACCCTGGTTGTTTCAGATATTGCAAGTATCTTGTGTTCTATTGTTTTAGTGACTTTGTTCATGGTTCCTTTGAACAGAAATCTTTTATTTCAATATAATTAAATTAATATACTTTATTTCAATATAATTAAATTAATATACTTTTTGGTTGCCATAAAATAAAATAAAAAGAGTTGTGTCCTACAAATAACCGGCAAATTCAACTCTTAGCACTTAGCAAATGAACTGAAGTACTTTCTCCTATTACTTGGGACCCAAGGAGAAGCCATTTATTTCACTTAGTGTGGTCTGAACTTATGGTTATCTGTTCCAAAGTTAGAAGAAAAACCATATTAAGAAATGTATAGTATACCCAAAGTTATGTACTCTAGAACTGAGACAATTTTAAGGCTAATATTGACTCTATACAATCTATATATATAAAAGCCTAAGCGACCGAATGACAGGTTGACTGGTTGGACGCTCATTGCACAGGATCCGTCTCCCTCCTGTCTGGATGGGGCCTGATGGGATTGGGCTCCTCCTGTCTGGATTGGGCCACCAGGGATCAGGCTGAAACCGGCAGTCTGACATCCCCCGAGGGGTCCTGGATTGTGAGAGGGTGTAGGCCAGGCTGAGAATTCGTGCACTGGGGCCCTAGTGTAACATAATCTACCTAGTAAAATGCAGGTGCACCTTATTGTCAAAAGTAAAAGTTATCAAATGTAACCATTTATCATCTCCTGCCTTTTTTTTTTTTTTAATCATGTTATTATTTTTTTCTTTCTAGAGATTAAGAAGCCACCACTGGCCCCCAAACCAAAGTTTGTGGCAAATAATAAGTCAGTACCACCTCCTATTGCACCCAAACCTGATATTGTGATTTCTAGTGTTCCACAGTCAACAAAGAAAGCCAAACCAGCAATAGCCCCAAAACCAAAAGTTCTGAAAAGCTCACCTGTTTGTGACATCAGGCAGTCACCATCAAGGAAAAGCATCGTGAATCTGGAAGAACATAAACAGGAATTACCTGAAAGTGCTGACAGCTCTTCTTGCAAAAAGGTAGGGCATCAGAGCTGTGGTTATATTTTACCAATGTGTTCCTGCAGTTAGTGTATCCATAAGCTTGGGAATAGAGAGAATTTGTGTGTAAAGCAACTTGTCTTAGAGTCACTAGAAATGCCTGAAAATTTAGAAAATAGTAAAATTGATGAGTTCATTTCAGCTATAAAAACAATGAGTAGAAATGATTCTAATGGTGAAATGGTCAAGAGCCAGAGTATAGTTGTTTTTTAAAGGTAAGCATCCTAGAAGAGAAGTTTAAAGATGTTTTAATGAACATCACCCTTTATTTCCCCACAGAAGCACACTTCCACAGACAGCCCAGAAACGAATGAGGGCTGTAACTCCAACGGACAGTTCAGAATTGAATTTTCAGACTTGACACCTTCCCAGTCCAGCTTTGAAAAGGTTCCTGATCACTACTGCCTCCTGCAACTTCCTATCAATGAACTTCAAAATATTGAAACTTGTCAGGATGACAGTGAAAAAAGCCATATTTGCTTTCATTCATCTGAACAAGAAGCTCTGGCACATGGTAAAAGGAGTACTTTTTTATCTTCAGATGGAGTTAGTAAGAACTCAGAAGTCAAAGACCTTGGTCCCTTAGAACTTCACTTAGTATCATGTACTTCAAAATTTCCAACTCCCAAGCCCAGAAAGACACGTGCCGCACGGCTGTTTCGTCAAGAGCACGTAGATACTCCTACTGAAAGTACCGAAAAACCAGAGAATTTAGACAGTAACTCTTCTTGTCTTTTTGAAGATAGTTTGAAAAACAATGAAATCATTTATCAGAATGTTTTGTATAACCAGGAACAGGTGAACAAAGTGAAACCAGGAAAGAAAAGTGAATTGAATGTGGACTCCAACAGTGACAGACAAAACTTAGTTGATTCCCAGAAAGCCATGTGTCATGAAACACCTTCCTCTGAAGAAATGACACCTTCTTTGGATACAGATTCTAATTTGAGTTCCGACAGCAAGACAATAGATGGTTCTAGTATGTCACCTGCTGTGGACAAACGGACCAGTTTTATAAGATGCAGTACTGTATCTATGAGCCTGCCTAAGCAGCTGAAATTAGCTTGCAACAAACGTTTACCTATGGCCTGTAACTTGGAAGGGGCTGTCCCTCAAATGCAAAAGGAATCTACAATGAAAGATGTAAGTTCCTCAAAAATTGTCCCCAAAAAACCTCAAAGACACAGCTTGCCTGCTGCAGGAATGCTTAAAAAGGCTGCCTCAGAGGAGCTTATGGAGAAAAGTTCATATTCCTCAAATGAAGAAAAAAAGGACCCGGAAAGAAATCACCAACAATTGTGTGCCCAAAACCATGGTACGTCGTCCTCCTTTGAGATGTCCAAAAGGACTTTAGAAAAGCCAGTGTGGAAATTACCTCATCCTATTTTACCCTTTAAAGGGAACCCAGAATCCTTAAAGTCTATCACCACATCCTCAAATAGTGAGCCTTCAAATGCCCTGACCAAGCCTAGAGCAAAATCACTGTCTGCTGTGGATATGGATAGGTGCACTAAGCCTTGCAAAGATTCTCAAAGGAAACACTCTTTAAAGAAGTTGCTCAACATGAAGCTGTCCATCTGTTTCATGAAGAGTGACTTCCAGAAATTTTGGTCCAAGAGTAGCCAACTTGAAGGCACAATCGCTGGCAGACTCTCAGGTGGGGAGGGAAAAGAGATTGAAAGTGATTGGCATGGTGTATTAGTTGAAGAGAAGAGAAATAAACCCATCAAGTCATATTCTGCAGATAACTACAGTCTGGAATCTCAAAAGAAGAGGAAGAAGTCTCGGGGCCAGAGCAGTGCAACTAATGGACCAAGAGCTGAGTCTTTGGATGACCAAATGCTCTCTAGGGAGGCAACATCTCAGGCGCCTTGTAAATCTGTTACAAGTGACTATGCACCAGATTATGAAAATGTACGCCATTATGAGGAAATACCCGAGTATGAGAACTTTCCACTTGGTATGGCTGTCGGGAAAACTCTAGAGTTGGAAAGGCAGAATTCCAGCAGCATGGAGGACACTGATGCAAATGTGTATGAGATAGAAGACCTGTATGAAGCTTCAGATGGCCAGCTGCAACTTGGACCTACACAGCAGCATTCCAGGTAACACTTAGGTCCCAGACAGACACTGTAGTTTTATGTGCATCACTGAAATTAATTTTCAAAACCCTGTCAGACAGGTAAAATCTCACACATGGGGGGAAAAAATCACTTGGTGATAAAGTGGGTTAGTACGTGTATATTAAATTATTTCAAAGAGCAGTCTCCTTTTATCATACAGTCAGATTGGGTATTTGCAATGCAAGTGTGAAGTAGTTACCCTATCTTAGTTGCTTATTCAAAGAATTTGAACCAGTAATAGTATAGGTATGAAAGACCTGGACCAGAGAGGTCTCAGGGCCTCAAAAGCATCAACTTGGAAGTTATAGCTGGAACTTAAGGGGAGGAAATTGGCCAATTTAATGAGCTTTATTTGCTAGGTGTAGGAAATCTGAAGTTATTAAAATTCATGCATTTACCTATGGTGCCCTTGTCAGGGCACTTCTGCATTTGCAAAAATTACTACTCTTTGAGGATTATTTATTTTACTTGTTGAAGGCTAATTACTAACTTCAGATGGATATAGGAAAAATGCAGGAAACACTTTTGTATAAGCACATTCTACCCGTGGTATACCCATTCCATTCGTCTTCTTAAAACCATGCCCATCTTTGATGGTCTAGCTCAGCAATGATTGGCTTCAGGAAGCGTGTACAGTTACCTAGTGGGAAATGTTTACTTCCTATTCTGACCTCCCAGTTATGCTCTGCTATCCTTATGGCCTTTCTCTCAATCTGTCTTATGGTATGGTTATTTATTGGTATGTCTGATCTGTATATTTGGTTTTAAGCACAATGAAGAGGTCTTTTTGTCCTGCATGAGGCCAAGAAAGGGGCTTAATAGAGGTCAGTAGATGTTAGTTAGGTACATGAGAGAACGAATGAGAAAGAGGTAAAGGAAACAACCATTGCAGCTGCTTCCTTTCTCCACTGTCTCAAAGGGAGACTCTGCATTGTACTTAAAGTGTTGGTTTTAACCTTTTAGAAGTCTTCACGTTTTTCTTTGGTCACTAACTTCAAGCCTCTGAATACTCAGGTCTTAAAATGGGACTTTTGTAGAAATATTAACATATGGTATATAGGGCTAAAAACATGATGATTGGATGAATTATATAAATAAAACGATCTAATGAAATCTTAGTACACCAAGTAAAATAAATTGTTCTTTTAGATATTCTCCTAGCATTTTTCTTTACTCATAATCCTTTCTGCCCTTCCTCCTTTGATCCATAAAAGATAATTTACCTCCCTTGCCTAACTTTTCTCATAGCTGACTTGATTCTGAATATTAGTATCCAGGCAAAAGCCTCTTCCTTGGTGTAAATATTTCCATGGAGAATTGTAGTTAAGTATCCAACTTAAAAAAAACCCACCACATCTAACTTTTCATGCCTGCTCTTCAGGAACAATTTTGTTGGTACTCTCTTCCTTTTAACATGCTTTTGTGTAGTGTGTGTGTGTGTGTGTGTGTGTGTGTGTGTGTGTGTGTAAGTATGTGTGAGTGTCTGTGAGAAAGAGGAATGAATTTGGCTTCTTCATGATATACTACTATTCTTAGCTAAAATGAAGTTTTTTCTTGAAATTGGAGATTTGGCTCTTGGTGTAAGTTTCCTGTTGGCTCTCATGCTTAAATCCTGAGAGTTTGTCATTTTCTCTAACACAGGCTGTAAATTCTGAAACGTGTTCTTTTTATTTTAAAAAAATTGATTTATTGATTTGAGAGAGAGAGTGAAACATTGATTTGTTGTTCCACTTATTCATGCATTCATTGTTTGATACTTGTTATGTGCCCTGACGGGAGATTAAATCCGCAACCTTGGCATATAGGGATAACACTGTAACTAACTGAGCTACCCAGCCAGGACCTGGAACTTGTTCTTTGTCTGATATGCTTCTTATCAGGGGCACTGCTGCTTGGCTGGAGGGAACCAGGTTGGAAGGGGTAAATAAATATACACAGCCAGCCAGTTCAGCTGGATGGCATTCATGAGGAGGGTTCTTTTTGGAAGCCAGGACACCAAGGGTGGCTGTGAACAAAATGCAGGCCAGTAAGTAGGGTAGTCTGGTGAAGAGTGGGTGAGCTTTGCTTTTGAATTTAGTTTTCCAGATATTCTTCTTTAGTCCTAAAGCGAGGACCCGTAAACGGGCTTGAGGCCCCTAAAATGTACCAGCTGAATCAAAAGCCTGCAGACATAGGATCAGATGAACAGCTAGGAGGTTGCACCTTCTAATAATAACATTGAATAGATGCAAAAGCAAAATCCAAGGCTTCATGAGGAGGACACCTGGACACCCTAAAATAAGGTAAATGAGAAGTGAGCTGAGAGGGTCCAAGTTGAAATCTTTTTGGTTGTTTTGGCTGTTGAAACTGTAGATCTGTTCCTTAGAGTACTTCTAAATCCAACACCCTAGGGTTCTAAAACGATAAGAAAAAAATGCAAATGAACCCTGTTTAAGATTTTTGTGGAGTGAATCAGAAGAGTGTCTAACAGTTTCTCAACCCTCAGGGAAGAGTCTGGATTTCACCTACGAGACTAGTTTATAGAACTCACCGAGTCTACAATATATAACTGGATTCTGGATCAAACAGATATTTGGCAAGCTTGGGAGTAGCTCATATGGTCACCTTCTTTAGAATGTAGATTTCATGAATCCATTTCAAATTTATAACAACATGTTTATAATTTATCAGGAAATAATTATAGGTGGTCCCCAATTCCAAAAGGGTTCTGTTATTTTAAAAGTTCATGATAATTTTAAACTTGAAGTATATTCCCTGAAGAAATAGTTTTGGGAATGGTGGTAAAGCTTAGCCCCCAAATTATATTAACCACTAGTGTTCTGGCCTCCCCTTCTCCCTTCCCAGGTGAGTATTTCCTCTCAGCACTTCTTTGGGCTGAGGCAGGAGAGTTGGCCAGGGTGAGGTTGAGCACCAGGATATCAAGATGAGCAAATCCACTGGGTCTGAGGCAGCAGAGTTTGTGGAAAGGGTGAGGTGACTAAAGAAGAATGAGGAAATTGGGGGCTGGGCTTGCTGTGAGAAAGACTAAAGCATTGGGAGTGATAAGGAGAAAGGAAGGGCTGGATCTTTGCCATTTAGTAAGCAATGGATTTTCCTTCCCTTCTTTTCTTATTATTCTTGTCCCTTCCCCTTCCCCCTCCCCATTCTCCTATGCTAACTGCATGATACTGCTAATTGAGTTTCTGACCCCTAGTCATCAGTGAGTAAAAGAAACTGGGAAGGGCTGGATGAGTGAGGAGTGGCCTTGGGAAACCCCTTAGTGGGGAAAGAAGACCAGCCAAATCTGAAGGTGAGGGAGGATGAAAGGGAGTTCCTATGGCTGTAGAAACAGTAGCTTTTACGTGTTCCCAATTAGACCATCATTGGGTCACTGCTCTGGAAGCCACAGGGTTCTCAAATCGGGTGTGTTTTGGGTATAGTTATGAGCTCTCTTTCCCAGAAGGTTTCAGGCATTATAAATCCAAAACAACTAGCCAGCAACAGTCCTTTTTTTCTTACTCTATGCAGGTGATGAGTGCTCCGTTACTCCTTAAGTAATCAAACTATTACTTAAGAAGTTTGATTTTCATAAGGAAGTTCCAAAAATCTGAGCCTTTATTAAAGAGTTATAGACAAATCAACAAAATAATAGTGCCCAAATGTTCGAATTTTCCGCTTGAAATTATAGCAGATTTCTTAATTCTATAACCAATAAAAAATTTCCCTGGAAACATCTCAGGTTTTTCCTCTGTGATTTTAGTTTGTTCTTACTGTAAGCATTTCAGAGAAAATGTATGGGAATTGGGTTTTCCTAGGTAACCTAGTAAGCCCTCTATTTATTCCAAAATACTGACCGTATGTCAAACAGTGTGCATTAAAAGGTGAAAGGGGTGCCTATTCTGGTCAGTGAGGCGGCAGACAATTATAGGTAACATGGTTTTATTAATCCAAGCTTTGTCTGAGTTGTACCCCAAGTAGGATAATAAAGATGACTTTTCAGAGGTACCCAAGCTTGTAAAATGGACAACACCTGATTTGGCATTTCCAGGTCATTTTGTAACCTTGATAAGAGCAATTTTGTTGGTGCTCTGAGCAAAGAAACCAGATTGCAGACTGAGGAGGACTGAGAAGAGAGGAAGTAGAATCAGAAAATGTGAATTGCTGTCCCTTGAAACTTTGCCCAGAAGTTTCCATCACTCAAAGGTTTGAATTTATCTTTTGGTTTTCCTCAAGCACCAGAATTCAAAATAAAACAAACGTTAGCATCATTTGTTTTTAATTAATTAGTAACCCTCCTCTCTGATGAAGGGCAGTACTAAATTTTTTGTTTGTTTGTTTGTTTTTTCACCATTTTAAACACGAAACTGTGCTTAAAGAGCTGCCAAAAGGCATTGCAATTTGCCTCAAATCCCATTATAGGATTTATGTTATAAATTATTAGACCTGGTCTAGAAGATATTTCTCTTGGGTTGCATTTACCATCTGGTGGTATTGTTGAATTTTAATAATGATTAAAGTATAAATTAATAGCCCTAATGAGCCTTTCCATGTTGTCATAACACCAATAAGATTATGCATAGAGGGTGGGGTTGGGATTCGTATATCTTAACAGTAGCACTTTCCTGTGAGCTATTTTCAGCATCAGCTCAGGAAATATCAAAAATTTGTATGACTCTTTAATTCTATGTTTCTTGTGTTGGAATCATAGCCACACAGTTTTGGCAAATATGTTTATGTACTTACCCTACATTTTAAACTGCAACTAGGAGCGTTTGGTTTTATTTCTTGGCAATAAAGCTTTTCTTTTTTCCTGTTAAATAAGTATTGGTAAGTAGTTGAATTGCAGTATTTTGTCCAGCTCTATTCCTTTGGTCTAATTTCCTATCAAAACATGTAAGTGATATTGTATCGGATAGATATGCTTTAATGTGATAGAATGTCACTATTTTTAAAGGTGTATTTTCAGTTAGTAATGAAAGAAATATCCAACATTGCGATTGTGT